TCCCTACACAGCAACACGATGACCTTGGGGCAGCTTTCCAGACATGGATGGACACAAATGGAGCACTGAGACCAGAGGTATCCCTACCCCAAACAGCTTTGCCCCCAGAGGATCCTTTCCTGTGGGAACAAATAATGACCCACGTGTGGCTGGTGACCTCCACGTGGCCTGCACCAAGACTTTCAGAGCCCTGGACTTGAAGGCATCTCAGCTGCAGGTGGGGGTTGTCACTGAGCTCAGAGTGGCCAGCAGGGAGTCCAAGGTCGCCAAGCAGGGTCTGAGCAAGGCCAGAAATAGGCCTCGAGCCCTCGAACTTTCTCCAAGGGCTCTAACTGGGGTCAGAAAGAGACACTCACCTGACCCCAGGCCCCACTGCAGCTGCCCATGGCTCACCCAGTGTCCCCCCAAGACACTCATGATCAGCCTGCAAGGTCAGCTCACCGGCAAGACCCCAGGCTGAAAAGGGCCTCAGTGTCTAGTCCATTTACATCCTTGCTTCCTCCCATGATGGGGGACTCACTGCCTTCAGCTCAGGCATCCTACAAATGTTTCGGTGTGTTCTCAGGGCTGGCAGTGGGGGCAGGTGGATCCCTGTGCTGACCCTGCACCCTCAAGCCTCTGAGCCACCGTAACCTCCCTTGCCCCACATCCTGTCCCTGGCCTCCAGGTTCTTTATCTGTGAAATGGAGAGAAGCCCACCCTCTGCCCAGCCATGACTCTGGGAATGCTCAGAGATGTCTCCCCCAGTGGTGAGAACCCAGCCATCCGTTTCCCATGACAGGGTTCCAGCTATCCGGAGCGGCTGGTGCTAGACCAGGGAGGGGAGATCTTTAAAACCTTACACTACCTCAGCAACCTCATCCAGAGCATTAAGACACCCCTGGGCACCAAAGAGAACCCCGCCCGGGTCTGTCGGGACCTCATGGACTGTGAGCAGAAGATGGCGGATGGTAAGAAGGGTGTGAGGAGGGGGCTTCCTGCCCAGGGGTGGGTTGGGGCCGTTCCAGGAGGAGCGGGGGGCAGATGGGGCCTGTAGTCCTCGGGAAGATAGACACGGGCAGTCATGTATTCAGTCAGCAGCCACTGTGCCTCACAGTAGGCCAGGCTTGGTGCTTCCTGGGGCGTGGGGATAGAATGGGAACAGCAGAGTGGGCCTACCCTTCCAGAACCCACAGTGGCAGACCGGGGAGGACTTCAGTGCAGTGAGACAAGAGCTTTCCCGACAAACAATAGTCCCACCCCAGGGGCCCATCGCAGCTTCCTGGGTGAGCCAGGGTTCTCCTTTCTGGCCTTGCCTCACTGGGCTCTCTCACCTGCGAGCTGGGGTGGTGCAGTGGAAGACCCAGCTCCAGAGGGGGGCAGCCTTGAGCCCAGTGTTGATCCGGCTTCTAATGAGCTCTGCCCTGGTGCTGCCTGGAGCCACCTCCCTCCTGTGCACAAGAAGCTGTGACTGCATGGCAGTAGTCGCACTCTTTCAGCCGCAGAGCCTTGCTCTCCCTGGGAAGGCAGATGTGAGCAGAAGCGCCCCACTGGTGGGCAGGAAGCCCCAATTCCTGCCCTCCCCTGGCAGTCCGAGGAGGAATCCTAGGCCTTTCCATTCCTTTATCCCTAAATCCCTTGGGCTAGTGGCTCACCCTCTCTCAGCCTCAGTTGTCTCCTCTGCAAAATGGACACCCCCTGGTAGCAACATAGGCAAGTAAGCCGTTGGCCATGTGACCCCCTCCAGAACTCTGCAGGAGTGAGCTCAGCTGAGGTTTCCTTCCATCGCTATGGCTTGAAAAATTCCTTTTCCACTCACCCCACCTCCAACTTCCTGCCCAGCTGGGGTTCA